CTCCCAAGCGGCGCACTGTAGCAGTGTGCCACCGGGCCGGCCCTCTATTTACTGTTTTAAAAAAATAATTTTAAAAATAGTAATATCAAAAAAGAAATATTCAGAGAACCAAAATAAAAAAAAAAGCTGCTAAAAATTATAACACAGTATCCTATCATAAAATACTCAATAGAAGGGCTAAAAGATAAATATAAAGAAACCTAAAAAGAAGAAAAGACAAAGAGACAGAAAATAGGAGGAAAAAACTGGAAGACCATCCCAAAAAGTTCAACATCCAAATAACAGGAGTTCTAGAAAACAGAATACTAGATGGAAGTCAACAAAATAGTTGGGAAAAAAAAAGTCCTAGAATTAAAGGACTAAAAATTGAACCATAATATGCCCACATATGGATAAACAAAGAGCACCACTGTGAAATGTTAGAACACCAGGATTCCTCAAAAACAATTTGGTAAAAACTCCCAGAAATAAAAAAATAAATCATAAAAGGATGGGAATCAGAATGGTTTCAGACTTCTAAAAAACAAAAACAAAAACAAAACAAAAATCCTCTAATAAATGACAGTGTAGCAATACGTTAACAATTCTGATGGAAATGACTTCTAAAATAAAATTCTATACCCAACTAAACTATCGATCAACTAACTACATGTAGAGAATGGACATGAAAAGTCTCAGAAAATTTACTTCCCACGCACTCGTTTGCCATGAAGTTAGAGAACGTATGTCACCAAAATGAAGTAATAAATCATAAAGAGGAAGCTGCAGGATCCAGCAAGCATAGTTCCAATCCAGAAGTAAGGCAAAGAAACCCCCCAGGATAATGGTGAAGAAATCCAAAGATGACAAAAAGAGGAACCAGTCCAGATTGGTGCAGGTCACAAGGTTCCAAGGAAGTATTACTGAAAATAACAGACTGAATGTCTTGAGAGGAGATTTTGACAACTAGAGAGTTTGGGGATTGAACTAGTAAGTATTTTCTTAAAAATACATACGTTTTAAAAATTAACTCCAAGGAAAACAAAAAATTGTGCAAGAAATGAAAAGTAGTCATAATATGCTATATAGCTCAGTGATGTTTAGCATTTACAAAGTAAATACCAAGTATTAATTTAACCAAATTTATGAAAGAATCATATTGGAAGAATTGCGGAAGAGCAAGGTTGTACCCATGTGAGCATACGTGTTTATATCCATGGTATAAAGGAAGATAAAGGTTATGCCTAAAACTGAAAAATTAAGAAACAGCAACATAAACATTTAACTGCTTCAAGAGAGAGGGAAATTGGGCTAGTTTATTTTCTAATAAGCCTATAGTTCAAGCCTGTGCTCCTTAACCACTACATGGTGCTGCCTCTTAACAATGGTATGTTGTGTAGCAACTCCACCAAGTCCACATTTTGCATAACATGTCAGGTTAAAGTGAAATTAACATTATGGGGCCGGCCCGTGGCTCACTCGGTAGAGTGTGGTGCTGATAACACCAAGGCCGTGGGTTCGGATCCTATATAGGGATGGCCGGTTTGCTCACTGGCTGAGCGTGGTGCTGACAACACCAAGCCAAGGGTTGAGATCCCCTTACCGGTCATCTTTAAAAAAATAAAATAAAAAAATAAGCCTACAGAAATTTAAATTTTTTTCTATGTTAAATATAAGAACTTACAAACTTAAAAAGTATATACAAAAGAGTACAGATTAGTACTATTCAAAGTGGCTGCCAGTCTGGAATGAAGTAAGAAACTTGTACCAGAACATTAATCAACTACATCTTTAAGAACATTGCTGACATTTCTTTGCAGCAAGCTTTTCTTGATGAAGGAAGGAAAGCTTTGATTTACATTCTGGCCAGAGCTCTTATATCATATCAAGGCACTTTGAGTAGGACTGGTACAGATCAAGAATCATCAAACTTCTAAGGAAAGGGCCAGGAGCAAATATTTTCGGCTTCGCAAGCTATATGGTCTCTATCACAACCATTCAATTCTGCCATTGTAGCGTGAAAACAGCCTCAGACAATATGTAAACAAACACACACAGCTATGTTCCAATTTATTCATGACACTGAAATTTAATTTCACATAATTTTCATATGCCACAAAATATTTTTTTTCAATGTAAAATCCACAGGTCATACACAAACAAGTGCTGAGCCACATCTGGACCATGCGTCATAGTTATACAACTTCAGATAGACACTATGATCAACTTTGTTTTTTTAAAAAAAGCTGTCATAGTGTTTCATATAGAATGAGTGTTCGTACTTATCTTCTTTACGCTTTTTTGCTATTTTAAAAACAAAAATATGGGGCCGCGGGAGCAACACTGAGGGTTGCAATCCCGTTGCCGGTCCCCGGTCCGGTACGGGGGCAACACTGAGGGTTGCGATCCGTTGCCGGACATGGAAAAAGACAAAAGACAAAAACAATAAATAAATAAATAAATAAAATAAAAATAAAAACAAAAATATTACTGAAGACCTTTTAAAACTTGAGAAATTTTATAATCCTTTCTCTACCTGTGAATACATTTTTCTCTGCACTCTCTAAGCAGGCCTATATCCAAATAATCTAAACTTATATTTAAAGTTCTAGAGGAGACTGGTTATTCCTCAAAATCCTCAATCAGACGACTTCTAAGATCAATCCCCTCTATCATGTCATTGTAAACACACACAAACGCACACAATCCTGGGGTCTTGGATTTAAGAAAATGGAGGAAATGCTCCTACATCCAGTTCTCCTTTTTCTAGTTACCAATGAAGTCATACTTAAGATAAATGCAAAGTTATCGGCTCTATCATCTAATCCTTAGAATTTCATTTTTCTGCAATGTCTTAGTTCCCCAACCAGCAAAGGCTCAAAACTCTTCAAATCAGTTTCAACCTCTTCAAACTCAGTTGCAACTGAGGAGGGACTGGTAGGGACAGGACAGGATAGTGGGACCCTCCCAATCCTCATCCATATCACTAATATCACAGACCCTCAAGGTGATGGTGAAAAATTGAAGGCCTGCCTCCCTTGTTGAGTGAACAATGCTTTGATTATGTAGCTATATTCTTAGAACAGAACAGATTACAGGGAACATAAGCACAACTAAGTGAGTTCCAAGTAGGTAGAGCAGCCCAGGTCCAAGTTTCCACATTACTACACTCCTCACACAGAAAGGAAGCAGAAGTCCATTCTGGTCTGCATCAAAACCTGAAAGATGCACAGGGGAATATCCTACCAGGGGCCAAACCCACACATGTCCACTAATAGGGGTGATTATGGTTAACCTCACAGCTGCTTTGACACCACCTACTAAAAGAGGGGAAGAGGACTGGCCAGTTAGCTCAGCTGGTTAGAGCATGGTGTTATAACACCAAGGCCAAGGGTTCAGATCCCTTTACTGGCCAGCTGCCAAAATTAAATAAAATAAATAAATAAGGGAAAGAGGTCACTTGAGTACTCCGTGACCTATTACTTTGCACATCATAAAAAAAGACAGTGAAGAAATTCAGTCTATTTCTCAAAGACATTGCTAAGATTTTGCCATTCTAAGACAATGTTTCAGATTTTTCAGGCTGACAGTGCCACCTAGTGGCTTTCCATCCTGAACTCGTGGTTAGCTGATACGGAGACAGCCACCTCTTGGTCCAAGAAAATGGACATTTAACCACTTTTAGCCCACAAAATCAAGACTTCCAGCATCTCTTGGAAAAAGTAAAAATAGGCTGGAAAACATCACAGCATTTTTGGGAAGATGTGGAGAACAAGCTTGCCACTCAAGTTACCAAAAATCCGCTAAGCAAAAACATTTTTACAGCACTGCTGACACGACCAAAGAACCTATTTAATAGCTCTAGTTCTCTTTAGAGCAATCCACCCCAAGACACATCAGTGCAGGACAACTTTCAGAAAAGAAAAAAAGAAAACCACAAGAGATCCAAAACAGGAAAAAAAAAAAAAAAAAAGAAAAGAAACTTGAAGTCATATTTACTTGAACATAGGAAATCTCAAAGAATTTGCTAAGAAGATAAAAAGAACCCCGAAAACATGAGAGATACAAAGGTAATTTTAAAAGTTTGTGGTTAAATAGAGAAAAGAATACAAATCTTCCCATGAATTTTTTGAAGCACCCTTGTATTTCAGGTTGGTAATGTCCACAACTTTAGCTCATGAACTTCTAATAAAGTTATGCTAATTTTGTAGTGAGAAATTTAAAAGTTATGGTTTCTAAGGCCCGCGACAATAACACACACACACACATACCCACTGGCTTACCTTGAAATATTGAAGAGCTGCAGCATTTCTGAATGTTCATATCCCTGTATTATCACTTGCCTTGCAATGTCCACTATGCATATCAAGATGCTGAGAATGACTCACCTTGGCAACAAACTGCTTGTCTTTTTGGTCCAAATTAGCAGTTGGAGCCACATAGTCTCTCCATATTCTCAGCCTGCGCTCCTTGGCAAACCTGGCAACAAAACAAGGATGCAAGATCATTTACACAAAGTCTGCAATTGGAAACCAGTACCGCTATGGGAGCACACAGTGTAGAATCCTACCCTACCCTGGAGACAAAGGCAGGAGAAAGACCACCAGCCAAACCAGAACAAAGAGTAACAGCAAATGGAAATATCCAAAATGCATATATATTGTAAACCATGGCTAGTAGACTAGGCTAAGTGTGCAATTTTCTAAGCCTGGACAGTACAAATCCACCTTGATAATTCACTCTTTGGTTTATCCAGTATCTTCTGAATGATGACTGACAAACAGAGCAAATGCTGTCTTAAATGGGAAGAACACACACACATCTAAACAACCAACCTTATTTTTTAAAAAGCATAGGCCTGCTCAATTTTCATTTGAATTATAAAAAGGTATCGGCTCCCTGTACTGCCAGTCCCCTCCACCCCCACCAAAAAAAGGTAAAAACTACCAAATCCTGCCTAGGAGAACAAAACTGTCACCACTGTGCATCTAAAGATTAACTGGAAAATGGACAAAATCCCTATAGGAGTTCACTGACAAGGGTTAAAAAACCATATTGCCAGAAATTTATTTTAAAGTACTAAGCCCAGTAGATATTTTCTGAACCAGACTAAGGTTGGGAAATGGAATATGTGCAAATATTTGGGAAAAAAAAAAAATCAATGAAGAGCTGTCTTAAACTATTACAAATAAGTGGATACATGCACAGTGGGAAGGAACTATTTTTTCTGAAAACAGTATTGCAACCTTTTTTTTTTAAAGAAGCAATGACTAAAATGAGAAAAAGACAAAGCAGGATGTAGTAGTTATAAAATAATACATAAAGTAATCTGATAAAGAGGATGTAATTTTACCAACAAGGCAAGTAGCTCAAACACAGCATGCAGAACAGCAGACAAGTAATCACATATTACTGAAATATGGTTTGCTTCCCTGGTCTAAGCCTGTTTTTTAATGATAAGCACTCTCCAGAAAATCCAGAAAATCTTCTACTGATGTTATAAAACATGTAGATATTACTTTCATTGTATTTACTTTCTTCAAAGAGAGTCAGGAACTTAAAGGTGCAGAGAAATAAATTATCAACCAAAATAATAATTTAGAATAGTAACGGACTTAAAAGGATTTACTGAACCAAAAAAAGGAACAGCATCACAGAATAATCAGAAGTATATGGAACACTGTACTTGATAAGGGTATTTTATCATTCTAATTTAACTGTGGAGCAATCTAAAACCTAAAACATTTTTTAAGCAATCACTGGGTTTTTTTCATCAGACAATATACATTTGTTAGACACATCATATCAAATGGGCCAGATGAAAATCTACTTTTATAAAAACTTGCAAATGTTTCTGTGTACAGGCACAGAAGGATGTACCTAAGAAAAGGAACAAATGCTATAGTTATTCAATTCATGTTGTTGCACATCTCTTAGCTGTACATCTCAACGGCAAAAATGTAAAGTTCTCAAGACCATGGTAATTTCAAGATTCTGAAATAAGCCATACAACAAGCCTTGAGAGTGGACCATCAGCAGCAGCTGTCTATTGTCTTCTGCTTAATTGTATCCTGGGAAGTGGTGATTCAGATTACTCTCAGCATCATTTCCATTCATTTATTCTTGTTACCTGCTTTATTTTTTCCCTCTACCGCATCAAATGAAAGAAGTTCATCTATATCTAGAAAAAATTGACCTTGACGCTTGAAAAAGCCGTTGATCTTTGGAATTTCCTCACTTGATTTTCTGGAAATAAGTTATTTCTACAATTGCTTTAGCCATAAGGCACCAAGCCAAAAACATGACAACAGCACCTCAGAGTTATATTAGCACTTATAATGAAAACATCTTTTTAAATAAATTAGGGCATTAGGCCTCACAACAACACTGAATGGTCCTGGTTTAGGACCCACAGGCTCTATCTTTTCATCATACCACTGCTCCAGCTGCCTGTGTAGAAGTAGCTAATAAGTGATTTCATATTCCTCAAATGAGTTTCTTTCATTCCAGATGCCTAAAAACCAGAACTTCAGAAGGGCTCTTGGGAAAAAGTGACCTGAAAACATTAAAAAAGCAAATCAAGTGAAGAATAATATCTAGGTGAAAAATCTAAGCCCTTACCATCCAGAACTGAATTAGACTGAAACTAAAGGTTAATATTTAAGGTCACTCCTCTGTGAGATCCTAGCTTCTTCTGAAATTTCCCTATTCCTTTACTAAAATAGATATTAACATAGATGGATGAGAGAAGATCACTACATTTCTTTCCCTTAAGACCCTAGACAAGATCCTTGGCTGGAAGGCTTCCCTGACAGACTTACCTCTCAGCTGCCCTCAGCTTTTCTGCACCCCGTGTGTAAACTGCAATTGACCAATCCACACAGCGCGCAAAACCTTCCTTCAGGAGGAGTTCTGTGATGTTGCCATTCTGAAAGACAGGCCGCAAGACAAGGCAGGCACAAATCAGATTCTGTTATAAAAAGATCCATTTCTCTAGACTTCTGCCAATTAATATAGCCACAATCTATTCTGCAGTTCCTTTTTTTAATGTTGCCATTCTGAAAGACAGGCCGCAAGACAAGGCAGGCACAAATCAGATTCTGTTATAAGAAGATCCATTTCTCTAGACTTCTGCCAATTAATATAGCCACAATCTATTCTGCAGTTCCTTTTTTTTAAATTTTGAAGTGGAGTAGTTTCTTACATTAAGAAACCACCCTAAAATGGGAGACACCAGTCTCAGACTCCTTCAATGGCATTGGCTTCATACCCCCACAACACCCAGCACAGTAATTCTCACTTAATAGGAGCAGGATACAGGGCCGGCCCGTGGCTCACTCGGAAGAGTGCGGTGCTGATAACACGAAGGCCACAGGTTCGGATCCTATATAGGGATGGCCAGTTGGCTCACTGGCTGAGCGTGGTGCTGACAACACCAAGCCAAGGGTTGAGATCCCCTTATTGATCATCTTTATATAGTATTAAAAAAAAAAAAAATAGGAGCAGGATAAATGTGAGTGGCATTGAAAAGAATTGACATTTCAGCAGCTCTTCTTGTGGCAAAGGAGGATGTTAAGCTTTAGTAGCAATTACAACACCTTATTCTTCCCTTCCCTAAGGTCAGCACTTCCTCCCCTTTTCATAAGGAGAAAGCTGAAGAACGGGCTGAGGAGGGAATAATGTAAGCTACATTTTGTCCAGTGAACTACAATTCACATTCTACTGTAACACAGAGCCATCTAGCAGGGCATGGCCAGACAGCACTCCAGAAAAAACAGACATGACCTTAGCACACTCCAAAACCAACCCTCCCAGCTTTCTACAACTACCATCATGGAAGAATTATCTAGCCAAATAAGTAACAGTAGTTTAACTCTGTATTGAACATAGATTGCAATAACGCAAATCCATTTAAACTTAAATGCTACAAAACAAGGTCATTTCATGTCCAAGAATAACCCATTTACCAAAGTGTACGACAGTGTAAAACTCCCAATAGTCAGAACTACAGGAACACAAAGAACCTATTTACCGCTCAAAACAGTTAGGAGATAACTGGATAAGGCCTAGAGCACACAAAATAATTTTTCCACACCACAGGTCTATTGATACTCCAGATAGCTGACTTCTAGACCTACATACAACTCTTACCAATCCCATTTTATAAATATCACTTCCACTTCTAATGGATGTAGAAACATACAACCTTTCCTATTATGACCTCTAAGATCGACCACTCGGAAAAATAAGTAATAAAGTTCCTCTTCCCCTTATGAACCTAATAACACATGAGATTAATTTCCTAAAGTGAGAAGTAGCACAGATTTGTCTAATTCTATAAGATAAATGATATCTCCCTAGAAAATGCCTCAAAATCAGTTAAGTAATAGCCTTGGCAAGGATATTTAGATAGATGTTAAAGACAGAGCAAAAGAAGAGAAGAGAAGCAAACTACAGCTCTTGAAACCCCAACTGCACACTCACTGGATGAAGGATGGTACCCAGAATGTTCTGGTTGTGGCAGCTCTCTAGAATGATCTGAACATCTCTCTGAAGCAGTCGCGACTCGGTGAAAAATTTGGCTTCTGCAGCAAAAGGCTCTGGTGTCTCACTGCCATCTGCTTCCCGTCGAAAAGTTGGGCACTAAAGCAAAAGTGAGGTAGGTGAGTAAGTAATTCAGCCTAAATGCAAGAACTAGGCACTCTTGCCCCTCACTAAACCTTCCAAAAAGCACAAACACCCCAAACTAAGCTCAGGAAGGTGTAAAATCAGGTCTTCTAACCCTTTTTAAAACATACTGGTGAAAGAGGGCTGGAAATACCTTCTCAGACTTCTTGGCAAATAAAACCCACATTATCATGAGGAAAATAATTTAAATTACAGTTGAAAATGGTCCCTTACCAAGAAAAGATTTATCAGTGCCTACCTTTTAATCCCCCCCCTTTTTTTTAACATCAAAATGGATATTTTACACTAATACAAGCCATATTTAGCAAACTTCAGAGGCTCTCATCCCTCCTTTTCTAGGTTGACATATTCAACAATTTCTCAGCACAGCCCATTTCAAACCCAGGGTACTTAAAAAAAAAAAGATATTTGATCTAACTAGAGTTGTACGATTGCAAAGTTTAAACCAAAAGAAGTATAAAATTTTCTGGTCAATGTTAATGACCTACACTAGGAAGAAACAGTATATCCAAAGTCCCCAAGTAGAAGAATCTGCCTATCACTGAACACTTCCACAAACCCTATACCCACCACACAGCCCAGTGTATGGTCTGACCTTGATCCCTGACAGCATGACTGTAACCAGGTAGTAATCTGGGAGGAGCAGGGCCCTGACCACACTGCCGTCCCGCACGTGCTCGATGATAGCTGTATGACAGAATAAACAGCTTAAGTCATTAACAAAAGTCATACCAGGGATAAACAATGCCCAATCAAATTGCACTTAACACAGTTCCTCTCCCAAAACCCTGAGAACGCTTCGCTCTGAGAAGTGAGGAAGCACTGGCAAATCATGAGAGTTTGCACAACAGACTTTTGCACAAACGATTCCTCATTCCTCAGATCAGACCGACTTCTCTGTCTTCTGAACTTTCCAGGACCACGTGGCTCATACTGAAGCTTTGTTATCCATAAGCTAGTATGTTCACCTGAGTACCAAGTACTTGGCAAAAATAATAACTCAAGATTGGTAATAATTTTATCTTAATGAATCTGTAGTTAAGTTCTCAAAATAGGGCAGAAAACAATACGGCATACAAACATATATATATATATGCTTAGATATATACTGAATACATGTTTCTACCTATAAGTTTCAGGGATGGTATTTAAATCTGTAGTTAAGTTCTCAAAATAGGGCAGAAAACAATACGGCATACAAACATATATATATATGCTTAGATATATACTGAATACATGTTTCTACCTATAAGTTTCAGGGATGGTATTTAAACAGCATTCTTTTAGAGAACAGAAGATCCTCAATGTGCAAAATACCAGCAATTTACTATCCTGCAACAGAAAGGACTAGCCTCTGCAAACTACATCCAATGTAACCTATGAGAACTAAATTCAAACTCCCTTCCAAAATACCATGGTGTTGTTTTACCCTAAGGAATTCCCTTGGATACTAAATGAGTAAAAGAAAGGCTCACTAGGTTTTATACACCTCAAGAAGCAAAGAAAGCACATAGAAAGAAATCATCCTGAGTCACTTCTGTCCTTTCCTACCAGCCTCACCATTGACAGGCTTCTGGTGGTGGGAGTCCACAAAGTGCCTTGGGTTCTCAATGGTATACTTGAGGTCCCGGATAGTGTGTGAACCGTTCCCTTCACTCCACATCCCTTTCTTAGCTGCCTTTGCTTGCTCCTCACATTCCGAAAGCCGGTTCTGCTCAGGACTGGGACATGAAAAATAAATAAGTGTGGTTAGCGAGTTCACAAACAGAAACACGAGGCTCTTTGACACCGGGTCTCTTCTTTATCTTCTCCCCTTGAACAGACCAAAACATTTGTTTCAGATCTATGACTTAAGACCCAAACCTTTAACCAGAAAATCACCATGAATGCAATTTCTGGATTCCACATTTGTTCCTTAAAACAACAGATTAAACTGTTAGGAGCATTTAGTGAGAAGATCTAAAGAGCACATATTGGTACTGCCACCATCAGTGATTAGAAGAGAACAAGTTAGTGGCTCAGAGGGGAGCCCCTCCAGGGGGTACAGCTTCATTTAACCATCCCAGATTCAGGAATTGGAATTCAGGCAGAGCTTAGCAGGGCACAGTGCAAGGAAGGTGACCAAAAACCACCCTTATTCCCGGCTCAGTCTTCAGAACAAGGCTGGGAATATAGAGTGAGCACTGCTATTACAGATGATGTTACCCCCAAACTGCTTACACATTCAACAAGACCAGCTAAACAAAAACTGTTTCAAAATGGAAGCCTTCTCCTTCATCAGACAGGAAACCAAACTTCATAGCAGAGCAGCCAAAAATTCAGTAGATAAACCAAAGCACGTTTCTTTGTTTTTCGGTTTTTTTTTTAAATAAAAACCAAAAAAAAGCTAGAAATGGCTCTTCTGTCTCTCACATCTGAGCTAAAAGGAGCACTGAACTTCAAAGTCTTTGGCCTAATTCCAAACACCTGGTACCATCAATGGATGTATGCATAAAATGAATCTCCTCCCACGTTGAGCAGTAGGGATGACCTACCATTTCTCAAGCCAGAAGTCTTCTGTACCTCTCTTCCCTCCCCTGCTCCAAAAGGCAACCACATCCTCAAGGATCCAAATTCACAGCCAGAATTAGATGAAGAAATGTAGCATAAGAGATAGAAGCAAACACAAAAACTGAGAAAAGGAGACTTTATGTCAAGACAATTTTGGAGAAAAAGAAGAATTGGTATTCCAGGGGAGATTTCTTTGTTGAGATGGTACAATACTACTCTGGAAATTTTTAATTATTCATTCTGGTTGCAAACTGAAGTCCCAAAAAAGACTGCAATGGTAATCTTACCACTAATTGTCCTTAAGACACAACTTTGGCATGCTTCTAAAATCATCATAAAACAAATACTTAATCTAAAACAAATACTTAATTCAATAAATTCCCACATGCACACACCCCAATTATAGAGTCCAGCAAAAGCCTCCTTACAGTCAGAAAGGACCACAGAAACACATGGTGTATACAGTGGCCCCAAAGTCTGTGAAGGCAGAAATAATGCAAAAGGTGCATTTTTGCCTATGCTCCTCCTCATCATTGGTACACCACATGCAAATGTTTAGCTAAATCCTTTTCTACTGCTATGACAGTCATTTAATATAGAGAACTTAATGATTTAAAAACAGCATGTTTATAGCCTCCAAATCACTGATGTAGCATATCACTTTTTAGAGACTAAAGTGTTAATTAAAACCAGCTGCAATCTATCCTACTTAGAGGCATCACCAGTGAACTCATGACATATATGCTTATAAACCTTACGTACCTAACACTCCTTTCTAACAAGTGCACATTACCATTAACTAAACAAATACATTTTTACCTACTAATTAAGTATCTAAAGATCCACAGACCAACACAGATTAAAAAGCTTTAGAAAGATAATAATTTTTCCTAACTCTCAACATAGAACAGCTGAGGCCTTGTCAGTTTCCACAGGTTCTAAGCAGCAGGTTTTGCTTTGTATTCTGCTTATTCCCCCCACTGTATTTTTCACTTCACTTACTCCTTGTACCTGATATAATATTGCATATCTATTTGTTTTTTGTCTGTCTCCCCATTAAAACGTTAGCAGAGGCTATATTCACTGCTATATTCTCAGTACCTAGAGCACAGCCAGACAAATAACAAGTAGTCAATAAATATTTGGGACTGGATGAGTGAATAAATACTCTGAAACTGAATATCTACAGTCTAAGACCTATTGACTCTTATGAATACAAAGAACAAAACTGTGTAGTCTCAAAGCCTGTTTTTAAAGAAGTTATGCATGTCAAACACATTTAAGGAACGTTGAGTGACCTCCTGGCTCAGAATAATCCATAGCTGAGCAAGAATGTCCTAGAAGCGATGAAAGCAACTGAAGTTAACCAGTTTATGTCAGGGGGCAAGAATAAAAATGCAGCAAAGCCAATTTACAATTGACTACCCAACCTCCCTTGATGTCTCAAGGAAATCAGAGGGACAGAAAGAGTAATGAATACTCACTTATTCGTTCTCATGCCTTCTCTCCGGGTGGCTAAGCCCTCTGCAACCAGTGACTCTGCAATGTTTTCCCCATTGGTATCTGAGGAGGCAATAAAGGGAATTAAGCACAAGATTCAAACCTGCTTCCAACAGCAGTAGAGCTCAAAAGGGACCACTTTTACACTTAGCTCTTCAAGGAGAATGATGCTGCCAGAGAACAGGACAAGGCAGTGATGTAACATTGGGTTTTTCAGAAAACTGCTTTTCTCGAAATGTCTCTAGAACCCAAACATATATCAATCTTCTCAGGATTTTGTTTCTAAATTTTCTAGCATATCTGCCAGGCGAAAGGCAATCTCAGGAACCACAGAAGACTGACAAGAGAGCAGGACACATGCTGCAGGCAGCTCAGGAGAGTATAAAGCAGTGATAGAAGGAATAGGGGACTGGAGCTCAACACAAATTTAGCAACTTAATAGCTTAGACAGGATCTCTCAGCATCTTAATTTACTCATCTCTAAACTGGGAAGAGCACTTACCTAGCTGGGTTCTTGTGAGAATTAAATAATAATGTATGTAAATCACCAAGCACAGTGCCAAGCACATGACAGGAATTAGAAAAAGTTAGTCCCCTCGCCCTGTACATCAGATAGACAGATTCATTTAGGATCGTCTATCACATTTTACACAGGAAAGTCCAATTCCTCTCCCAGGTGTCCTCTTCTCTGCTCCAAGAGGACACCAATGTGAGCTACACCACCTGACAAAGACTTTCTCTTCCTCTCGCAGAGACACCGAGAGGACAGTGTCTAGATATATGATCTCTCAAACAGCACCCATCACAACAGGCAAGTAAAATGAAGTTAAACATAAAACCCAACCTGATTAGGTTCTACACAGGCACTTGAAACATTAATTGCATTTCCATGCTATTGAAAAAGCTTTTAGGCTTAGTGTTTTCTCTTAAATCTCTGCTTGTTAACTGAAACCATAAAGGAAGACATCTATGAGGGAACCACCACATAAAAATCTTTAATATGTTAGAGAACAAGCTCCTAGATGAACTGAAACACAGCAGTCTAGCTGATAGGTAATATCAGCACAGAATAAAAATCTTTAAGATTTATATTCAGTACACTATACATCGACTTCTGCAACCAGTAACAAGTACATACACTACTCCCAAGCCCAACCTAAAAGCCTGGCCATTAGCCTGTCCAATTTCTGCAGGGGCAGATTGTAAGCCTCATTTCCTGCCAAGAAAGTTGAGGTGAATGATATTCACACAAAGAACACTAGGTTCTGAGGCTGAGTATGGATCACCTGACTTTTCCTTCGAGGTTACTGCTGAGGCCAGACACAGATAGACATTAGTAAGCATTACACTGGTTCTTTCAAAGTAACAGGAAGCTCACAGAGTGGAAAGTCAAAAGGAAGGATTCAACAATGATGGGAAAAGGTGAGCAGTGAGGTGCCAAGAGGTCAGGGGTAGAAAGAATGAAGCCCAGGTACAAACAAGGTGGGTGGCCATAAAACCAGCCAGTCAACAGTACACACAATGGCTCTCTGACATTTTCTTGGCACAGAGCACCTTGAAATGGCTCACTTCTAAAAAGTGAGTTCTGAATGCTCCTTCAAAAAAGGAGAAAAATGCATTCCTCTAGGCTGAACCCTCAAAGGAGGCAACAAAATGTGGTGGATAGAATAGAGAAACAGGAATTTGTAGGCCAATGATCTCATTCTTGCTTATTACTTATCAAAATTTGAATTTGATCAAGTCACATTTGGGGAGCGTATTCAGAGCAGGTAGGTCTTCAAAAGTCATAAAAGTAATCATCTCCTGTTTAGAAAGTTTTAGGTTAGCTGCAAATTCTCAAATTCTACCATTCACTCCGGTCATAAGAGTGAGTAGCAATGAAATAAAATAAATATATAAATATTAATTAATTACTAAGTCTATCTGTTTTCTTTCATTAGAATTGGTATCAACAGTTGGTTAAGGAAAGGAGGAACTGGTAAAGGGATGCGAAAATCAACTACATTGTATATTGATAAATTAAAATTAAAAATTATACAAAAAGAGTTAGTTAAAATACCCAAGTGAGGGCCAGCCCATGGCTCACTTGGGAGAGTGCGGTGCTGATAACACCAAGGCCACAGGTTCAGATCCCTACACAGGGATGGCTGGTTAGCTCACTTGGGCGAGCGTGGTGCTGACAACACCAAGTCAAAGGTTAAGATCCCCTTACCAGTCATCTTAAAAAAAAAAAAAAAAACAATTGAAAATATTAAAAATAAAGCCATTTCTTTACCTATAAAATTGAAAGATGTAGGTAGTTTCAATCATTCTTTTGGTACATATTTATTAAGCACCTACTATGTGCCAGGTTTTACTCTAATCATTAGTGTGTTAACATACTAAATTATATCCAGCTTGTAATTTGGTCAATTTAAAAAACACACTTTTAAAAAACAACTGTAAAGATAATTTAAAATATCAGCTTCTCTTAACATAAACAACTTGGTTAACATAAACAACTTGGCCATTTTGATTGAAGACCAAGATTATTAAAATGAATTCTTAGAGGTGGTCTCCTTCTAAAAATAGCTGTGCCCACAATTATCTGTGGTCCAGTGAGGTCTCTGTTATGGAATTAAAATTTTTAGGTGATAAAATCTTTGAACAACAGCATTTTGAAGACAGTACACTTTTTTTTGTTTCACACTCTTTCTAACCACCACTCAATGATAATGCTTAAGTGTTTTATTTCCTACTATATTATTAGAATTATGTTTATATTATATTATGTTTATATTGTTATATTATTAGAATTACTGTTTGTTTCCCTTTTTGAAAAGATTCTATATATTTCTAGAATTTCCCATTCAATCAAGAAGCAGATAGCACAAAGGTGTTTCTCTACTGGGTAGGAAAGTGAACAAGACACCTCCGAGGTCATTCCCAACTCATTTTTCTACTGGGTAGGAAAGTGAACAAGACACCTCCGAAGTCATTCCCAACTCATTTTTCTACTGGGTAGGAAAGTGGACAAGATACCTCCAAGGTCATTCCCAACTCATTTTTCTAAAACCTCTATAATTAAAATCAGAGTCTTAACAGGATATTGTGAGCCTTGCCATTCTACCCTGCTTGCTTATCGCCAGCACTGACTACCCAAGTCAAATAGATTATCTAAAGCAGCTCAATTACAAGAACTATCAGAAAGGTTTTTAATCAAAGAATCACAGGAAAGTTTTCAAAAACTGCTCCCCAAATAAATCCAGATGAACAAGACTGTTCATGTTCATCTCTGGTTGCTTTCTGGAGAACATTCTACCAATTCTTTCAATGTCTTATGTCTGTTCAAATTGCATTCCCCACTCTTTATTCTCCCTCCACCTAATCTAAAAAAAGGACGAGAACATCTAACATCCCATGAGCCCAACTAAACAATAGGTGGGTTTAGGTGTGCACATAGACAAATATACTACTAAGCACTAAACTCTCTCAATAACTTGCAAATGAAAAAACTTGGGTTTCGGGAAGTTAAGGGTTAAGTAAGGGTACATGGTAGGAAAGTCAGAATTCTAACTCACATCTACACAACTCCAAAGCCTGTGTTCCTTCCATTCCATTACAAAATATTTGGCCTGCAAAAACCATGGGCACTAAACAAATCTTCCCTTCCTAAAAGGAGTCCCCAGGAGGAGAAGAAAAGCCACAAGACAGATAAAGAAAATAGAAGATGCAACAGGAAATCTATAGGAATTCAATTAGCACTCTGACCTAGAAGCACAGAGCCATTGGGTTCCACAAGCTGATGGCCTAAATGGAAGGAATAATGCTATCCTGTACTACATACACCTAAACCAAGCCAAGAGAGTAGGCAGAGGAGTACACAAGGAATGGGAATACAGGGGGGTATTCCTCTGCACCTATATGCCCAGTAACTGGAGCATTTCCAACTACACCTATAGCCAACTATCCTAGCACTACCTCTGCCAGCCCCCACACTGGCCTTGCACCACATGAAAACTGACCTTTAGAGCAACTTGAGACTCATCTCAAAGAGAAATGAGTCCTCTCCTCCTTGCCACTCACCTTTTCCAAGATAGATCATGCCATATTCTCGCCCCTGGGGAGTCTTGTTTTCTATCGTGAAACAGACTTCCTTCCCAATCAGCTTCTTCCGAAGGAACTCTCGAGCAGGAAATGCCCAGGGCTGAAAGACAAAACAAATGTGTCACATGAGAACTGCCTAATTCCAGACCCCAATCAGCATTCAAGGAACTTCATTCCTTTGGTAAATTTCTGAGTACCTACCATGCCCTGGCCCTGTGCTAGGCCCTTAGAAAAATATAAAAATGAAATGCTCACAAAGCAAATCGTATACTTAGGGGCTCATAAAAAAGGAGGGTTCAGCAGTTGGTTTAACGAGCACAGGCCATAAAAACAGGCCTAAGAGTTTTCCAGACACTGGCAGTAGCACTTTTTCCCCATCACTATCTGTTCAGAATTATAGCTTACTTTGTGAATAATATTTGCCAACACTTTTATAGCACTTACCATGTGCCAGCCACTGCTCTAAATGCTGTGTGTGTGTGTGTGTGTGTGTGTATGTGTATATATATATATATGTATGTGTATATATATATATATATATATATATATATATATATATCTCAACCCACTCCCTGAAATGAGAAGTCCAGGCTCCAGGAACCCACCTAGGCAGAGGGAAGCCATAAATAACAACTACAACCTCCATTTGTTTGCCTATTTTCAGTTCACAAAGCACTTTCACTGACTGCTAAACTAGTCTAAAACCAGTTCAAGGCATTATTGGAATAGGGACATGGTTCTATTGCTATTATTATTTCAGAGTGAATACCCTGCTCAAGTAAGAGCCTTATGTCATTTCCACTACCTTTTTAAAGATAAGCAACAGAGTTGAGAAGACACTCCCTAAAATGTTTCCTCTTCTATTTTTGCTCTAACCTGAAGACTTTAGAGGTCCCAGAACCTTGGGGAGGACACCAGCAGTAACAGCCACTTATAAGGGATCACCTTGACAATGGTGATTCTTCTTCCCGCTCACCCATTCAAGACAAAGATACAAGAGGTGAGACATACATCCATACAATAGGAAGTAGAGTCTCCATGTGATCTCATAATTAAATGTGCAAAGGGATAGTTTTGCCCCATCCCCACTTTATCACCTCTAGGATGGTTTAGACAAAGGTTAATGTCTCCTCTGAGGCAGCCCTGTCACAGTAACCACTGGCACTTGAATTTACAGTCTAGACCGGGCTCAGTGCCCCAAGTTCCCTTAGAACAGAAATGAGAGTTCAAGGAAGCATATGGTCAGTAGGAGTTCATGTGCTGAAAAAATACAAAGTATAAATTGGAAAAGTGGTATACAACATGCATATGTTGTCTATTATAATTGCATGAAACCAGAGAACTCGGGCTACACACAGTAAAGGCAAAACAGTACACTGGTGGCCTAAAAAGGAAGCCTCTGCTAACCTTTTCGGTCCATGAAGATTATTCTATGGGGTCATCCAACAAGCTTTTCTGGAAGAAAAACAACCATGTGACTTCCCAGAAACCAGAGGCCAACTAAAAGGTGGCTAGTCCACCGATTCGTTGGGCTGGTACTCATAAAAACAGTACTGTTACATAACATCAATCATTAATGGTTCTAGGAAGAATGGATCCTAAGGAATAGTCTTCAAAGATGCAAAAACAAGCTTATATTCACTCACTTGATGCTCTCTCCTCAAAGCGAGGAGCCAATTACTCAATGGCAATAGAGAATTCACCATATATTTATGTCCCATTTCTATTCCCACCCCACTTGCTAAAAGTGAAAACGGATACCAGTCACCAAAGAGTCTGACTGATGATTGATAAATGATCTAAATTATCGACCACATCACGAAACCAGTACTGAACCAACTAACACAGTCTCTTACACTTCTATTACCTTAATGATCAAATAATTCCAAAAACATGCCCAGCCACAGATATGTTTAAGATTTAGTCCAAAGTACCACACTAATATTTAAAATTCAGTAACATACTACTTTCCTAAATGCTTGGAAAAGTTCTGACAAGTGCTCTTAAAAGAAGCCAAGACTTTGGTGAACACTCACTTTTTTTTTTTTTTTTTTTCTTTTTTGTCTTTTTTCGTGACCGGCAACGGATCGCAACCCTCAGTGTC